CTGCTGACAGAGGATTGTATGAAACTGCCACTAATCCGTCTGCACTTTACTGGCTTGATGGCGGGACAGGCGCTGCAGGGACGAACGCAGATAAAACACACACACACATTGACACAAAGGGAGGGTTGTCGGTACTCTGCAGCGACGGCATGAGCGATGGAGCCGGAGACGCAGCTGAACGAAAGCACTTGAACGCGTTACATTTTCCCTGAAGTAGTTTCGGGAATAGGTAATTTGACGTTAACTTAAGTACATTTTTACTCAAGTATTTTACTTTGCGACATTGGAAAAGAAACTGTTACTGAGTAAAAAAAAAAAAGTAAATCCAGGGGGGAAAAAAAAACAATCTGCGTTAACTGAAAGGAAATTGCGCTAAGAAATTTTCGACTATGTTATTGTAGCCAGATAACGGACGCGGACTCTAGTCTGTCATTGGTTGACGGCTGGTGCGGGAAAAACAATAAATGGAGGTTGAGGATCGCCAAGCAGAGAGCTCCTGCAAACGATGCAATAACTTTAGCGTGTGATGTAAAATGTGACTGCCCCCCGGTGGACAGAGCTGTCACAGTCAAAACCTGCCACTGGTATTTGAATTGTTGATTAAAAAACGACTAGCGGCCGATCGGATGCGCGACTCGTCCTGAGTAACTTTTACTCAAAACCGATCGGATGCACGACTCGTCCTGAGTAACTTACTCTTACTCAAAGTAAAGTAACTTGTAATCGAGTACATTTTCAGATGCGACGTTTACTTTTACTTGAGTAGAACTTAAGCAAAGTAAAGATACTAATAATAATAATTGCATTTTTTTTTTTTTAGTACTTTTTCAAAAAACGGCATAAAATATTGACGATAGTTTTCCTCATTTCCTTTTCATATTGTCTCTCAAGAGAGAAACAACAACAGGCAAAAAAAAAAAAATTAAAAAAAAGTCAGTATCCTTATCTTTAGGGTTGAATTAACCATATCTCACGCTTTTTCCTTTGATGTTTTACCTTAATGTGAATGAACTTAAGAATTCCCAGGAGCTTTAAGATAATGCATCCTACAAACAGCAGTCACACTGACGTTGATGTTGTAGCCCATTCTACATTAGACACAGTGCTGGTGTGACCTCAATTTTTTTATAAAAAGGAGTGATTTTTTTAAATTTTTTTTTATAATAACCCGGCACCATTGTGTCTCCGTTCTCATTCTGCCGGCGGACATGAATTATCACATCTGTGCTAATTATAAGTGAAGCTGTGGCCTGTGGCACAGGAAGACCAGGACGGATCTTTGTTGCATCAGTTGCAGAAACGCATCGGGAGGTTGTTCAGGTGGTGATGCAACGCAGAATAATGAGCAACGCACCCACTTCGTCAGGTTTAATCAACACGAAGAGGTGGATTTTGACGGCGATGTTGTAAAAATGGACTGCGGTGGAGACTAATGGGAAATTTGTTTGTGTTTTTCTTCCGGATTAATCCTGCGTAGCCATGTGATTGACGTTCAGTCAGGGCCGTTTAATTTGTCTAGTTTATAGAAAATAAATTGTTCGCGATATTGAAAAGACTTCCTTAAAAAAATATCTCTAGTAATTTCAGTAGTTATTAATGATATGTATATATCAACATATCAAAAAGTAAATTTCTTTTTGAATTTTTTAGCTTTTTTTAACAGGGGTGTCAAACATATGGCCAGCGGGCCAAAACCGGCCCGCTTGGGTGTTCAATCCGGTCCGATTGCTGAATTTTTAAAAAAAAATTACACACGTCATTTCCACGATATTTTTTTGTAAAATTATATAATGTTTCAGCCCCCTGGTGGACAGAGCTGTCACTGTCAAAATTGACCTGTCAAAAATCTGAAAACATGCCACTGGTATTTGAATTGTTGATAAGATTAAAAACAACTAGTGGCAGATTGGATGTATTGCTCAGAAAATAAACTGTAGTAATTTCAGTCGAAAGTAATAATAATTAATAATAATTATTATTATTATTAATGATACGTATATATCAATATATCCAAACAAGCACTAGTTATTTAATTGGAATAAAACCAATATGTTTTATGGACCTAAACAAAGCTTTTTTTTTTAGCTTTCTTTATCATTGGTGTCAAACATACGGCCAGCGGGCCAAAACCGGCCCGTCGCCGGGGACTTGTAACACGCCAAAGCAATGATTCATTAGGACTCAATTAACTGGGAGGCATGGGGCGCCCTACCATATGCCTGCAGATCCTGTGGCGGTCTGTAGCCAGCCTCCCTACCACTACGCTTGCAACCGTTTCTGGCACAGTACCGTCTCTCTATGTGTGTGGCGAGCTGTTTTTTTATTCTTTTTTCTTTTAATTCTTCTATAAAACAACTCCTGGAGATTTCGTATCTCCGTGCCCAGACGCAGTAGCTTCTGAGCTCAAAGTGAGTCACGCTGACCTTCAGCTTCAACTCATGGTGGACCGGGTTGGCACCGCATGAAATACTCCATCTCCGTCTACATGAAAGTACGCAACCGGTGAGCTTCAGATACCGTACTGTAACTCTTAGGAGGAAAAAAAAAAAAAACGAAAGAAAGAAAGAAAGAGAGACTCCCTGCTCAATCACCGCTTCACTGCGCTTGCCAAAAGGCAGCATGTGCTGCCGACAAGATCTATCCGCCTTCATGTTCGGTTTGTCTTATCTGTGCCAAGGTAACGCCCCCCCCCTCCCACCCTCACCCTTATCTTTATATGCCGCTGTCCTATTTAAATTAATGAAAATTGATAAAAGAAAAACAAACATCTCTGAACTGAATGTGATGTGACGTCATTTTGGCATACAGCAAAGTGATGACTGGAGACTGAAATGCAGTCCCAGTCCGTTACAGAGCCTTTTCTTTGTCCTTTTCTCTTCCCTTAGCTCAAATTTTCTGACATGTCAGAAATTCTCCCGACCGTACGACGGTGATTCGGGAACAGATAATCGGCCGTCGTTACCCCCTGGTACATTATTTATTTAATTTTGAGCGTTTCATTTACAGTCAGTTTCCTCCACCATTTTCATTTTTACAGATAGAGATAACGGGAAAAAACAGTCGTATGAAAAGTTCGCCATCAACAGTTTGCGTATTAGCTTGACTACGAACATGTCATATCTCCTAAAAAAATGGTAAGCTAACTTGTCGGCGCTAGGTTGATCCGTCCTTTTTGGGTTTAAGTAAACAAAGCAAAACCAGCCGAAGGATGAAAGTGTGTGACTTATAGTCCGAAAAATACGGTACAAGTCTTTAGTTTAGGCGGACAACTACCAAGCATTCTTCGCCACCCCTCCTGGCGATGAATCAATTTTTCAGTTGAAATTTCACGACCTCGATCCGCCAAGATTTTCCTTTGGTTGATTAAGTATAAGTAAACAAAGAAAAACCTTGGTCCGCCAAGATTTTCCTTTGGTTGATTACGGCCCTAGCGTTATGGAACAGATACTTCTGCAGAAAAATCATGATCTAAATAGATGGAACATGGTCCTGGAGCTGGGCTTCATTAACCTTCTACGACCCCCTGAGGTGGAATACGCAGTAAAATACTGTAAGAGGGAGTAGTACGTCTTCAGAGTGAATTAAAACTTTTCCAGTCTTGTTTACAAATGCACTAACAAAAGATTACAACCCTGTCAGGAGTAAAGCACGTCTAAAAAAATCTGTGCATCGTATAATGCGGGTGATTAATCGGCTGTTAATTTTTGATGTCATTTCGTTTCTGCGGCACAGACGGCCGAACTGCGGTGGGTTTCCGATTGGGAGCGCCGTGTCTTTTCCTTTAATTAAAAGTGCCTGCAGGAAACCGATTCTGTCCTTTGTGAGGTGGAGTCTGACTAAGCGACAAGCATCTGGCACAGCGCCGCGCGGTCCGCGTGACGTCTCGCGATGGCTCCTTTTCGAGATCGCGTCTCATCAGAGCGGCACAGCGGGAGCCTACGCTGATGTTTTTCCTTCTAATCAGCCGTTTAGAAGTGTCATCTGCCAAAGGCTCCACTCAGACTCCGATCGAGGGGTTTATACCAAACAACCCCCCGCCCCCGAAACGTCACTCCAATTCTGACCGCGCGTCGTTATTGCCATAGGAGTCGGTTTAATATTTCACTTATCGTTTGTCACCGTGATTTGCTGCCAATGGCCTGTATCTGCCGAGGTTTCATTCACACTGATCTCGGGAGTCCGATAACATACGGGACGACAACGGTTTCACAGCCGGTTTCACACCTTCTGCTGTTCCATGCGTGCGGCGGCCCTAATCGCTCATGTGAGATTAATGAGCGACGTCGAGGTGTGATGGGAGGCCGGGGCTGATTACAGTCACACGTACTGTGCCGTAATCAGGGAGTACCTCGTCACTTAATAAGACGCTTGTGTCTTGTACAGTGTACACCTCGTTTCACAAGTTGTATCGTCACAGCGGGAGAAATGGTACGACAAGGGCAGATATCGAAACCGTGAGGGGCTTCGCTAAGGGCGCGAGGGGGAGGCTGGCGAAGTGAAGCTGTGAGAATTTCGCAAAGTGATAGGTGACCTTATAGGTGACCTCTGAGTGTTCGCGATTGATCAAATAGATACAGAAAAAGAGTTTGACAGGTCGGTAGAAGAAATGAGGAGACACTTTCAAATAATTCAATTATATCTTTACTTCGCACTTCAAGGGTATGATATTAAAATGAACCATTGATGAATCAAGTACTTTTTTTTTTTTTTTTTCAAAGGGCTTTTGACATCATTTCGGTTCCGGGAAGCGACAGCAGATATTTAGATCTGACCCAAATCGTAAGGAGCTGTTGAAACATTTGAACAGATTGGGAACAGCCTGAGCGACCCAGATAGCGCGAGCCTTCCGAAGTAAACATTCATCACAGTAAATCACGCTTCCGTTTGATAACAACAACAAACTCAAACATTCGAGGGGCCAAAATTGAAAAAAAAAGCAAAATAAGAATATTGTTACACATACAAAGTGGGATATGTCAAACATACGGCCCGCGGGCCAAAACCGGCCCACTTGAAGTTTCGATCCGGCCGGCTTGATGAATTCTGAAAAATAAAGAAACGCATAAGCACTTCATGTTCAGGTAATATTTTGTCAAATTATTATTTCATCAAAAATGAAGATTTATTTAATGGACTTTTTTTTTGCATGAAAACAAAGGCGAAAAAAGACAGACTTTTTTGATATTTACAGGTAATTATGTTACGATGGTTTTATGGATGGAAAGGATTTATGCGGCCCCTGAACCTGATCGAGTTTGACGCCCCCTGGCTTATAACAATAACTCTGCAGGGCCTCATAAGACAACTCCGCCGGCCTTAAGTTCGACACTCGTGTTATTTTTACCTACAATTATTTCATTTTTTATCATCCTTGCTCGTCTCCCTTCAAACGTTTCTGTTAAGAAAAAAAACCCAAAACAAACACATTCTTTAATTCAATAAACATGACAAACACAATGTCATCCAATGTCACACTGAATGATGTTTGCCCAGCGCTCAATGTGTGGCACCTCTTTTCAGGCCAAAGAAAGCTGAAGGCCTGAATATCCAACAAAGCCCCCCCCCCCATCATGCCAACAGACGCGGTGCCAGCTAATGTGCTGCGATTGGCACGGTCTGTCTGTTAGCAAAGGCTCATTCAAGGGCATTAAGTTCCAATTTCAGGAAGGTTAATTCATCCACCCGGGTTGTGCCAGGACTCCCACTACAGTTGGACTTGAAACAGCTCGTCATTTGCCGCTCGTTGCTCCCCCCTTCCCACCCCCCTCCTCTAGTGCCGTCAATGTGAACCGCAATCATTAGCAATCTTTGTGAATGCACAGAAGCACCAGTCATGCTCTAATGTGCTACATTTACTCGTAAGCAGTACATCAAAAAAACAGACAGTGACATATTTCACCGCAGGTCTCCTTCAGGGGTGGCCGGAGAACAGCAAGCGTTTTTCCCCCCGCAGTCTCATTAGGGACTGATGATTCAGAGGAGGGTGTCTTGGTTTGATTTGCTAAAATGGTGATTTTCTTTTTATCTTTAATTACAGTCGCGGTGGACATGTGTTTTTTTTTTTTTTAATTAATTTAACAATCTTAACATGCTTCCTCTGTCTCCTTGCCCTGTAGAATCCCCGGAACTGAAGAAAAAAAAAAAGCCATCCTTGACCTACTCTGAAGATAAATATTCAATTCAATCCATGCAGTGGACTCGGGGAAAATTATACCTGAACAATATGCGGGCCCTCAGAAAAGATCAACAGTGGACCATGTGATACTCGACCTTCATGAAGAGGAACTGGAACGCACTCCAGGAGATGTCAAACTTGATCTGAAGTCGCTCTGGAGAGGGGACACGGAGCTCTTAATTCAGCCGTTGCCGTTCACGTGCTGTTTAACAATACTCAGCCGTCATGGACCAACGGTGAAGGAGGAGCGGCGTCAGCGGTAGATCCCAAGCATCTCACCATGGATGTGAAGGAGACTGTCTCCGCCAAGAAGCATCTGTGAACCGGGGGAGGGGGGACGCCGACGACCGAGAGTGAGGACGGAGGACGGAGGACGAGCTAGTGTTTTGCTATGTCCATGGTTGCATCCGCTGCGAGCTGGACTTAGGGACACAGCAGTGGAGGATGTCAGCGGAGGCGGAGCTCCATCCAGGGGTGAAAACCAGCCAGCGAAAGGAGTCCAGGAGGATCAGGGGTAAGTGATATTAGCACCTGTAGAAGCGTTTTGATACGAGTCAATATTCGGTTTAAGTTTTTTTTTTTTGTCCTTTGGGATACTGGCACTGACATACAGGATCAGCATTCGTTTCAGAATTACCGTATTTTTCAGAGTAAAGTCGCCCTTTTTTTTTCCATCCTTGGCTGGGTTTGCGACTTATACTCAGATATTAAAATATATAATTTCACATGTTCATTAATTTCACACTGACAGCCACTAGAGGGCACTCTAGACTTGTGTACCAGTATCTGCTACTACTGCGCCACTGAAAATTTACGTTTGTTATTTTCACACTGACAGCCACTAGAGGGCACTCTAGGCTTGTGTACCAGTATCTTCTACTCCTGTACCACTGAAAATGTTATATGTTCGTTATTTTTACACTGATAGCCACTAGAGGGCTAAAATATGGTAAACAATTTTGAAATGCAATTTTTTTTTAAAGTCTTATTCTTTTTATCTAACCAAATTCTGCCTAGGAACAAAAAACACCAATTAAAATAAATAAATAACCAGTTACCCAGTGCAGTGTTTAAGACAAAGATGCTAGTATTTTAGAGATGCAGTTAAAAAAAAGAGGGGAATAGCCATGATCTTCATTTCATATTCCATATCTGGTTAGACCTGAATAATGCCGGACCACATGGAAGCAAAGTTAGCTCAGCCTCGTCCCGTGGATCCAACTGTTTTAACAGCTTGTCACTGCTGGGCTTTGTGCTCCCTGTGGATACACTAGGATGCACAGCATCAGTGACAAAAAAAAAATGAAGAAGAATCATTTTCAAAATGCTCAGCAGGAGTTTGACATATGGGATATAATGGGGTCGAAAAGAGGGAAAAGAAAGAGAAATCCAGAGCGAGTACGACGGGGGATCACTCGCTCACTTTTTTTCGTTTCTGCATCCGCATGAATATTGCTCGTCCGGTCGATCCAGCCGCGGCAAGGCTAGGTCCTCTGTGGCTGGTTTCCCTGCCTCTTTCAGCTTTCTCAGATAAATGGCAAGTCTGGAGGGCGGCCCATCGATTTAAGTTAAGTGGAAGGGAACAAGCTAGAGCTAGAGAGAGGGGGGTGTGTGGGGGGAGTGTGATCTGAGAGGGACAGAACAGAACGCCGTCCCCTGACTTTATGTATGTTAATCACGCGTACTGCAGAGACCGCTATCACCCTCAGAAACCATGCTATTTGGATCCATATAGATGGAAATGGCGCAGCAGAGGTGGCTGTGAGCAGGTTGGATATTTATGAAGGACACAGGGATCAGGTTGATGACTAATACCCGTTTTCTTTTTAGGGGGTGTTGTGGTAATGCATGTAGCGAGTAGAAGAAAGCGTCGGCGCATATGAAGAAAAATTAGTGCCGTTAGTTGTCCATGCAATGTCAGTTACCGGGGATGTATGGTGGTGCTGTTGTTAGCATGTATCCCAGAGGAAAGATGGGCAACTTTAGCTTTAGTTGGTGTTTCTCTTAGGAGTTTAATGTTTTTAATTTTTTTTTCTTTGGTTCTGTGGTTTTATACTTCCTACTTACTGTATTTTCTGAAACTATAAATCGCTCCAGGGTATAAGTCGCACCAGCCAAAAAAATGCATAATAAAAAAGAATGGTGTTTCTGTTAGGAGTTTAATGTTTTTAATTTTTTTTTCTTTGGTTCTGTGGTTTTATACTTCCTACTTATTGTATTTTCTGAAACTATAAATCGCTCCAGGGTATAAGTCGCACCAGCCAAAAAATGCATAATAAAAAAGAAAAAAAAAAAAGTAAGTCACACAAGTGCCCTCTAGTGGCTGTCAGTGTGAAAATAACGAAGATGTAAATTTTAAGTGGTATAACAGTAGCAGATACTGGTACACAAAGCCTAGAGTGCCCTCTAGCGCCTGTCAGTGTGAAAATAACAAACGTGAAATTATATATTTTAATATATAAGTCTCACCTGTGTATAAGTCGCAAACCCAGTCAAAGGATGAATAAAGTGCGACTTATAGTCCGTAAAATACAGTACTTATATTTCCGAAAAAACATTTAAGTTGGGGATCAGGTGGATTAGCATTGATTAGGGATGGCTCGATCCATACTTAGGATCGGTCGATATCAGATAAAATTTCAGGATCGAACATCAAAATAAATAAAGAAAAAAAATACTTAAGCCCAAATGCTCAACTTGCTTTGCTTTATTAATGTTGAAAATAAACATTTACCACATACTGGAAAACCAAAATGATCTGCACAGCTATTAGGTACATTGTTGTACTATTCATAAATGAACCGGGTTTTACAAAGAGACGTCTGTCAAACCAGACTCTGATCGTCTGATTCCACCTCACAGTAAAACTCTCCTCTCACCAGCATCAAATGAATTGTTTTACATGCATGACCTAACACCGTTTCCATAGCAACCGCTACTCTGTACCATAATAATCCTTGCACATGAAAACGAGACATTTCAAAAAGATGACAAGGGAGACAAATGAAGAAAAAGGGAAGAAAAGAATGCGGGACAAGGAGACATAGAAATGGAAAATATAAAAAAAAGTAAACCACAAACATCTCCATTATGAATACTGGCTGTTCCAACAGCGGTTTATTTCAGCCACTCGTTTCACTATTCATGTCTGGATTTGGATTTTGGAGTTTCGAACATTTTTACCGTATTTTCCAGAATAGAAGTTTCTTTTTTTTTTCAACCTTTGGCTGGGTTTGCGACTTATACTCAGGTGTGACATGGTACAATGACATGGTGGGCCTGATTGGGCCCGCAGGCCTTGAGTTTGACACACCTTACCTTATTTTTTTTTTTCCCGTCTCCAGCTATTTTGCATATTTTACACTCTAATTACATGCAAGTAGAGCAGGTGATAATTAACCGTAATTACTATTGTTTCTTTTTTTTTTTCCGAATTCCCATCGATGCTAAAGGAAACTGAGGTTTGGAGAAACCCACGCACGTGATGTTTAGCTCTTAATTTGCTGACTCTGACGGAAAGTATTTTTGTGCAGACAGAGAGGGGGGAACAGATGGCAGCAACAGATTTTCCTTTTGCAGACAAACAGTTTTCTACTCCCGTGTAACGTCATCGCTCTCCCGGTTGAGTTTTCGCAATCTTTTTCCACATCCTAGGTGCATAACACCAGCGCGGATGTTTGATGCGAGGATTTTCTCCTTTGCGGTCGTCGTCGTTGCTCCGCCGTTAACGCCGGATGAACAGCATGTGTCACGACGCTAACACGGAGACGTGCAGCCGCGGATACA